TCAAGTATTTTTTAATAAAAATATTTTTTTATTTCTTTTTATAAATTGAAGTTTAAATCTAATTTCATTAAAATTATAAATAAATGATAAATACTTATAATTATCATTTTCCTAATTACTGACATAAAAAAATTTGAAGATTTAATTTTAAAAATTAAGAATTAAGCAACGATTTTCTTTCTCAGAATATATGTATATTATTCTACTATATTTCTACTCGTAGAAACAGATAAATTTACAAAATTACAAGAAAATCGGAGGTGAGGACATTATACTACATTTACCATAGACTTTTCTACTATTTGAATTTATTATTAGCAGAAAAATTATTCAAGAGTTTATATACTTGCAAGTTTAGAGAATTTTTATTTTCATATATTCTATAGTATTTTTTCTTATATAACATACTAATACAAGTATTAGTGTATACGTTATATAATTATATAAGTGTAAAATATTTTTTCCCGAGTAATTATACTCTATTATGTTTTATTATTGATGATACTCTATTGTTTTTCGACACATCATTCGCTTGTATCGCTTCAATATATATCTAAAAAAAATTTTTATATATACATATATATGTGTATACACATATATATTGCATATAATAAAATTAATTTAACAGTAAAATATATAAAGATCATACAAAGAAAACGATTCTAAATCTTTTTATCTAATAAAATAGCTTAATAAAAACCAGAAGTATTCTATATCTTTTAAATTAGATAAAAATATATTGATTATGTGAGCAGATAAAAAGAACATTAACTTAGTAGAGAAACTTTGCTTACATCTCAGCTGCACAATCTCCTATCCAATCGGACGTATCAATCATGATATGAAATAATCGTTCTAAATATTGTTTAATGCACAGCATAATTACATCTTTTGAGTAACATTGAAACGGAGTATAATACGATTCACATAAAATCATATTATAATTACAATTTTCAATTTCTTTATCAAACATTTCCCAAACCTGACGAAATAAACTCTTACTAATTAAAGAAAAATTTTATATTCTCAAACTTGCTTGATTAAATATCTATTATTACATTATTACATTTTTATATACATTTTAGCATATAATAACACACACACATACACACACGCATGCACGCACGCACTCACGCTCCACACACACACACACACACACACACACACACACACACACACACACACACAAGTTTGAATCTTTATTTTTATCTTTTGTGTAAAAATTTGTTTTTCTTGCGTTTCTTTCTCACCTGCACCCATTTCCTTGATAATAAATCTCGCAACGATTCTCTATGTTTAAAGCGTTGTAAAGCATAAATTGCCTCAATACCTTCTTCAACATTTTTAATCTCATCAAATATGCAGTCGATCAAATTTTTTATCATGTTCTCTAATTCCATCACAAAGTTCCTGAAGTTCAGCATGTTCTCTAGCCACGAAAATTTTGTAACGTCTAAAATTTCATGGCGGATCAATTTTATTTCATCGAGAATCTCAGAAAATAAATTCTCTATTTGGCGACAACAAGCGTCATATTTAATACCATTTGGTCCGCCAATCATTCCCACATTAGTACACCTACAAAAATTGTGTATATTACAATTGTGCGCACGCGCGCGCGCAGAATTTTTTTTCTGATTATACATATTCAAATATATGCAAAATATTTCATCTTACTTTCCAAACACTGTTGAAGTATTGCATATTTCAATTATATCATAACATCTTTGCATAAATGTATCAATGTAATTAAATATTAATTGTTCGTTTACATCCCAATTACTATTCGATTTAATAAGCGCAGTTATCTTTGTAACCTGCAATTAAATTTTTGTCAAAAAAGAATAAATGCTCGTATTCTGTTCTAGAAATTACAACCAATTTTATCTATTATCAATTTTTTAAAATTATTTATTAAACTTGTGAGTTTTTGGATACAATTTATTTCAACTAATATTTGCTAACGTTGGATAATTTATTAATTATTTTTAGATGTAAAGATTATTAAGTTTGTAAAGATTATTAAGGAAATATTTTGCTTGGTGGAAGTTTGATAAAATTGGCCATATATTTAATTTAGATACTTTGTTATATATCGTCTTATATATTTGACAACAAGAGATGCACTTCCGAAGTATATTTATTCCATTTTCTGTATCGCCTTCTAATATTACTTGTAAATTGACATAATTTTTACATTGATGTACTATTTGTATGCTTATAGATTCACAAAGCACTTCTATGTTATTCCTAAAATAAACAAGTAAATCTGTTTCGTTATCCAACTTCTTAAATATGTGTAATAATTTTAAATACGTGTAATAATAAGTCAGGAATCAAAATTGTGATTGCAAATAGTTAAATATTTTTATGTTATAAATAATAAATATAAAAGATTAAATAAATATAAAAGATTGCATACGACATATTATAAAATGGGGATTCTGTCCAGATGAACAGTATCAGTAACAATATTTTCATTATGGGCTTTTCAATCTCGCTTGGACATTTCAGGTTCTTACAAGCCTCTGATAGAATATTCAGATACATTATATTGGATGCAGCTTGTTCTAAGCTTTCGCAAAGCTGTAACGTTAAAAATTGAAAGGAATCTATGCTCGGCGAACAAACGTTCTCTAACAGATGCAATATCGATTGAATTTCCATATTTGATAATTGATCGTGCAAACAACGTAAATTAAAATCTGAAAATAAAACATTTTATGTTCTTTTGAGACAAAAATAAAAATTGTAATAAACACGAACGCTAATCGCTTATGACTAAATAATATGAAATATAATAACACTCGAAACTAACATTTCGTTGTCCAATATTGCAACTCATCGAATACAGTTCGTCCACTGTTGCTTGTGGATGTACTTGTCAATACTTGCCGTATCTGTTTGATCCAATATCGTACAATTTTTTCAAATCTATCAATCAATGCCTTTTCCGACTCTTGCAATTCCTTAGAAATATGCAGACCATTTGTCTCATTGTTGGATGAATTTGACTTTTTATCTCTCTGCAGTGTCGCGATATCAGATAGATTTTCTCCCGGTATATATAATTTGGTTAAACCCATCGGCTTGTAAACCCATTCAGTTAAGCACATTAGAAAATTGTGTAGATTGAAAAACAGATTGTTTCTGATAACTGTTCGTTAAAGAGATAAGGAAATATTTGTGAGATTGACATTGAAACAAGGAAATATTAATGAGATTGACATTGAAAAACTCTCTAAACTAAAGAACAAAAATATGATTTGAAAAATGATGCAATTTGAATTTATGATTAATAATATCAATTATTTGTTATTTTTAGAATTTTAATATTTAGTTTCCAAAAGTGTCTCGATAAAATTGTCATCAAATGCAGTTATCATTATTAAATATTAAAAAAAAAGATACTCTCTGGCCACTCGCTACTATTACGTGCGACGGAGACATACATATTTTCCATTACTTTCAACACGCACATTATTGCGTTACGATTGATGCTGCCGAAGACAACTGTGGCATGAAAATTATCGACTGTAAACACGTGCCAAGGTATTCGTAAAAAATAAATGAAATCGCTATGATTATCATCCAAGATGCTTAATCGTGCCTTCAGTATATCAACTTGAAAATATATACATAATAATGTGTGAGCTGGATTTTCGAAATATTCGCGAATTATTGTATAACAATCTTCTTTCCAATCGGAGTCCTTGATGTTAGGAAGAATCGTGAAATCTTTTACATATTGTACCTAAAATAATGTAACATATATAGAAACGTTTGTTGGAAAGCTTTAACTGATATATATATATATATATATATTCTAAAAATG